CCCCAAAACCCCAAAACCCCAAAACCCCGTTGATAATGAATATAATAATTTTTGGTTTTATAGTATTGTTTTTAAATTAATGAATTATATTAAATTTTAATCAATTGAAATGGCATTAGATTAGTAGCCTCTCACATAAGAATAGTGAAATAAACTAGAATAATAGGAGAAATCATCTGAATGAAGAATTTCACCATGCTAGCTCCACTACAAACCTAGACATTATTAGAGCATTGCTAAGCTATAGTTTTCTTTGGACTTGGTCCCCAACATCCTACAGTGTATGGATGGAACATCGTAGTCACATAATAATAAACTCCTCCAATATAAAGTCCATTGCATAAATCTACATCACATGGCTACCATAGCATTCCATCTCTTCTGTATGGCCCTAGAATAGAATGTCCGTCTCTTGCTACTCCAATGATCATAATTGTCTTTTCTTAAGGTGACATAAAAGACAGAGAATATGCTAGTGGATCTTACTAGCAAGCTTCATTATAGTTGCAAGAAGTATATTCTAGGCTTTTTATTGGTCCTCTTGGTAGAATACAAGGTGACCATCCATAATAATGATAGTATCCAGAGAACTCTGAGCTTCCCAAGCATGTATCAAGATGAACTTTCTTGGTACTATATAATTTGCTTCCATAACTTTTAGGATAGAATATGTCAGATCCATACTCAGAGTTTCCTGTGTGAATAGGAACACCATTAAGAGAGATTCCTACTATACCATCGAAATTGCCAGAATATTCAATATAATCAGGGTAAAGCGAAGTAATAAATCCAGTCTAAGTCCATGCTTCGTCACAGAGAGCCATGTTCACACTAAGTTGATTATCACCGTTGTACAATGTCATAGTTTTCTCTTCCTCACTATCTTCAAGCACTCTCTCACTACCTTCAAGCACTCTGTTTCTTTTTAAGTTATTTCTTTGTTTATTCTTGAATCTAATTTCAAAGTCAATTTAATTTTCTCTAGGAGTACTTTAACCAGATTCAAAACAATGATTAGGTAGACCATTTGATACTAATCTTAGTCTTGAGCTAATGCCCGTTTGTAGATCTCTACCATTTGAGTTTTAAGAATCTGCAGTGCATTTAGTTATGACCTTTCTCTTCCAAACACATGGTGGTATTGAGCCATCAGGGCAAGATGTCATGCCTCTACATGTTATCTGCTCACCTTCATTGCTGGAACTGGTGTCAAATACACTTACAGCTTCGTTACATTATTTAACAACAACAGGCTCAGGCGTGGTTGTAACTGTAGTATATGTTGTTGATTACTGAGTGGGCTAAACATTTGTCTATAAAAATAATAATTAGTTAATGAAAGTTAAAACAGATGCAAGTTACTGTTGGAGAGCTAGTTGTTGTCTCTGTGGTAGGGGCGATTGTTGTTGTCACAGTTGTTGATGCAGCTATGGTTGTTGATGCATCTTTGGTTGTTGTAGCAGCTTAAGTTGTTGATGATGCATCGGTGGTCACTGGAGCAGTTGTGGACTCGGTGGTAGGGGCGATTGTTGTTGTCACAGTTGTTGATGCAGCTATGGTTGTTGATGCATCTTTGGTTGTTGTAGCAGCTTAAGTTGTTGATGATGCATCGGTGGTCACTGGAGCAGTTGTGGACTCGGTGGT